TTCAGCCCTCTGTAGTACACTTTCCTTCTCTCTCCTCAACACCCAATTTCACCACCATATACCATCGCTGCTCTCACACATGCTTTATATACCCTTTCATCTCCACTGACCATTTCTTTCCACACAATACCCCACCCAGTTCCCTAAATTTCATCCATCCCACACGAACTCTAGCCGTAACTGCGCTCAAACATCCTCCATCCGCGTTCAGCTTATCCCCTAAGTAAACAAAGCTTTCCACTCTTTCAATACCACCACTCAACCCCGTCCTTGCGTCCGTCCTATTAATCACACCATGAACACATTTCTTACATTTGAACGTGCCTTCCACCTTTTTCAGTGCCCCCCTCACACCACTACATCTCTTATGCACCCATTTCTGACATCCTATACACAATACCGAGTTAGCCTTCACTCTCCTGTCATATACCCCACAGGGGTCTATTTTACTTATCACTCGCTCTCCACCTTCCCCACTCACCATTACCTTCGTCTTACCAATATTAACTTTTAAATCTTTCTTTTCAATAACACTTTTCCATCTGTCAAATTTTAACGGCAATTCTTCCATGCTATCAGCCATCAAGACTAAATCATCTGCATACAAAATCTCAAATAACAACCCCTCCATTATGTTTCCACACACAACATCCATCACAATTGCAAACAGAAACGGTGATAACACTGATCCTTGATGCACTCCTATCTTAACACTAAAAGCGTCCGACATCACAGCTTTAACAAGTCTCTCATTCACTCCTTTCTTTCTCAACGCCCATTCAATCACCTTCCTCGGTACTCGATCAAAAGCCTTTTCTAGATCCACAAAACACATGTACAATCTTCGTTTCTTCTTTCTATAATTCTCCTGCAATATTCTCACCATGAACAACGCATCCACCGTTCCCCTACCAGGCATAAACCCACACTGCATATCATTAACTGTCACCATATTTCTCAACCTCCTCTCAAGCACCCTCTCCACTACCTTCATTCCGTGCTCTAGCAATTTCACACCCCTATATGACCCACAATCTCTCACATCTCCTTTGCCCTTATACAACGGCACCAACACACTGTGTCACTGTGTCGCCAATCCTCAGGTATACCTTTATCATCAAACATACTGTTAGCAATTCTCATCATAACTTCAGTTCCTATCACCCCACTCGCTTTTATATGTTCTGCCGCCACTTCCGAAACCCCTGTCGCCTTACCTAGTTTCATTTCTCTAACTGCTTTCTCTACTTCCTCCATCGTCACCTTCTCTATAGGTCCGTGTGTGACCGCGGATTCCACATCTCCATCCCACTCATTCTCTTCATTCATCAACCTTTCCATATGAGCTTTCCACACCTGTGCTTTTTCCTCCTCATCTATGCACAACTTGCCAGATCCATCCCAAACACATCCATTCCCTATAACATCTTTCCTATCCCTCATTGACTGCTTTGCTACTTTGAACATTTTCCTCGAACTCACTTCAAATTCCATTTCCTTCATTAACCTATCTGATGCTTTCATCATTGCAGTTGCCACTGCCTTCTTAGCCTTCCTATACTCAAACTCCGTTTCCTCCGTCATGTCCCTTCTCCATACCCTAAACCTCTCCTTCTTGACCTCCAAAACCCTCCGTATATCTTCATCCCACCACCACATCTCACCATGCCTACACTTTCCTTTCGTCCACATACTTTATCTGCCGTAGCCAACACACAGTCCCTGTATCTCTTCCAAACATCTCCATCCTTACCACTCTCCCAATTTTCAGCCACCTTCACTTCGAATGCCTTCCTCACCTCTGCATCCTGCAACTTCCATGTCTTTCTCTTTGCCACAAACTTATCCTTCTTCCTCCTCCCATTTCTTTTGATGTCACATCCATCACAACCATACTATGCTGCAGCATACCAGGTATGTATATATATACATACATCTATATATATATATATATAATTGGTATGAGGTTCTCAGATAAACATGTTCGGTTGAAGATTACACCCCATTTTGCAGTTAGAAGTTTTTTAAATAAAATTTCAACAACACGAAGCTGTTTGTTCA